TCAAAATGTTCAATGAAGTATTTAGTATGATTGAATAATAGTTCTGCAATTTTTAATAACACTTTTAGACTTTTTAATGAATAATTGTTTAAAATTTAGATTTAAAATAAATAAATGCATTTAATACTCATTAATAATTCACTTGATCAAAAGTACTTCTTCCTTTTGGTTTCTTCAAGCTTTTTGTATAACTACGGCTTCTTATTTACTTAAAGATATTTCAGTAATCTATTACGAGATATCTTAGCTTTTAAACTTATTATGTAATATAAAATAACTATTTATAGATTCTAAGTTTTCTATTTAAGAAGACCATTGAATATTATATTAATCTCTTCATATGAATTTTAATAATACTTATTGTTTATTCACAACTAATTAATTAATCAATCAACTAATCAATCTTTATTATCTTAACTTAAATGAAAAAATTAAAGAGATAATTAAGATATTGTATATATATTATTTATTGTTTAGCTTTTATAAATATCAAAAAGATGTACTTTTAGTTCACTATTTGTTGTATTTAATTCATAAATTTAATGAATTGACTTGGAAGGAGCTTCATATTCTAATTAATGTATTATCATATATTTTAAAATGGAAAGACAGATGTTTTTTATATATTTAATAATCAAATAATTTTTTTTTCATAAAGCTATTCCTTCATTATTTATTTCAAAACTGAAATTTTACTTTCAAAGCTATTCTTTTTTTCTAGATTTTTATTAAAATATTTAAATAAATAATATAAATAAACAAAAATGTTTTTTTATTTATTTATTGTATCAAATAAAAATTTAAAACTTAAAAATACTTTAAATTATTTTTACTAAGCTTGGTTAAATTTTTATATTAGAATAAAATCTAATTAAATCATTTCATTAAAAATAGAAAAACAACAATAAATACGACTGAAAATAAAAATGTATTAGACAGACATAAAAATAAATACATAGATATAGTTAAGAAATAATTACTATTCAAAATAACAAATATAAGTAATTTTGTTTAATATTTCTAACATTTTGACAATTTTGTAATATAAATATTGCTTTTTTAAATTGATTTGCCTTTACATTTTATAAAGAAATTGTTCTGCTTTATTCTTCTAAATTCTACTTGATCTCTGATCTTAATTATTCCAAATAAAATATGTTGAATGTCTTGTATAATGTCTTTAATGCTAAGTAGAGTTATTAAAAATTACATTTAGAGGCAAATATAAATATTATTTGTTTACATTTTTTAGTGGTAATTGCTTGAGTTTTTCATAATTAATAGAGATTGTCTATATGCTTTAAATAAGTCCTTTATAAAAGCATACTTTATCTTCTAATTTAATCGGCGTTAATACTATCCTGATATTTTAAAATAAAAACTAGATTCCAAGAAGGTTCTAATCACTTTTACATAGGCTAATAATTCTTTGCTAAATCTTATTGCTAATTAGGGTCATTTATTAAGACTTTTTCATTAATGATGCATTTATCTGAGTAATTATATAATTTCTTATAAGATTTAATCTAACCTAAAGATCTATCAGTTATTCTTCTAAATTCAAATCATTCAATGATGTATTTAGTATGATTAAATATTAGTTCTGCGATTTTTAAGAACACCTTTATACTTTTTAATGAATAATTGCTTAAAAGTTAGATTTAAAATAAATAAATGCATTTAATACTCATTAATAATTCATTTGTTCAAAGCATTTCTACTTTTTGGTTCTTCAAGCTATTTTGTATAACTACTGCTTCTTATTTACTTAAGCTTATTTCAGTAATTGAGATATCTTAGCTTTTAAACCTATTATGTAATATAAAACGCCTATTTATAAATTCTAAGCTTTCTTAAAAAGAAGACCATTTAATTTTATATTAATCTATTCATATGAGTTTTAATAATACTTATTACTTTTTCAAGACTAATTAATCAATCAATCTTTATTATATTAACTTAAATGATCAAATTAAAGAGATGATTAAGATTATATATATATATATATTATTTATTGTTTAGCTTTTTAAATATCAAAAAGATGCATTAATACCGTAGATTCTCCTTAATTAAGACACTTTTTAATTAAGACACTAAAATTCAAAAATTTTAAAAAAAAATTAAAACTAAAATGCTGTTATAAAATATTAAGTTTTGTAAATAAAAATACTTGCAATAAATAATATAAATATTTAAATTAAATAAATAAATACCTTTATAATTTTAAATATCTATTTTTTTATTTTTTAAATTTAATTATTTTAAAATTTATCTAACAATTAATTCATTTTATACAATAATTCTTATATTTTTTTTCTTGATTTCTATCATTTTTAATCAAAGTTTTCTAAATATTTATCGTCAATTAAAAATGTTTCTATTTCAATATTATAATCATTACCTGGATTCCAAAAAAGTATTCCAAAGCTATAATTTTTGTCTTATATTATTTTAGACTCATCAACTTTGTTTATATTTTAATATTTTGGATAGTCCATAAATAATACAACTCTCTTAGAAATATTAACTCTAATTTCTAATTCATTTATTTCTTATCGCACATCATATAAGTTTTTTCCTTTTAATATTTTATCTAAACCTAATCCATTGTTACTCGTGTGAAAGCAACAATTTTCTGAAAATAAATATGAATTATGTATTTGTTATGTATTCATTATTCCAAATTATAAATTATTACAATTTAAATTCTTGTTGACTTTACATCTAAAAATATAATTTAAGTTAGGATCTAATTTATCTCTAGTAAATATTTAACCTACTAATGATTTGGGTTGCTTTACTATATAGCCAAATAGCTTATTTTTTTCTAAAATTAATTATTAACTACTTTCATGATTTGATTTGATAAATTCTAATTAAGGTGAATTTATAGTTTCAAAAA